ATCTATTCAAAGTGGTTTTTTGTTCTCATAAACTTTACATTTGAAAGGGTCACTTTCGAACGCACACTTGTTTGTACTTCAGGTGTTGGACCATCGCCTAATTAAGGTCTCCCATACTGACAGTTTATTGTGTATAATGCGCTTGTTAAGTTATTAAGGGCAAACACCCCAAAAGTCCCTGAAAATGTAAAAAAAGAGTGCGAGTAAAAAAACGGGTTTGCTGCCCCACAATTGCCGCAAAGATAAAGGGGGAAAATGGAACCTAACTTATTGTACTAGTGACTGTAGCTGAACTTCATGCTGGTTTTGATAAAAATGATCACGCACTTGATAGCGAGCTAGGATAGTGATGTAATCATGTACAGGTAAGGATGCGTGCGCGTTCGAGTGTTAGCAACTTTAATATAAATATCTCAATGAAAACCAACATTGTTTAAAGTTTGTTTCTTTGAGATAACGGTGCTGCAAAAAATAGTCATGGCCTATTTTACGTGCGGCGTGCGTCACACCTTTTCATGTCTTGTATTGCCTCGGAGGTGTTAAAGAGGCAACCAATCTGTGTTTATAATAATTTCAACATAAAACGTAATAAATACGCAGTGTGGTTTCATTGCTAATTATGGTGTCTGTATAAAATTACATGATGAAATATACATGATGACGTCATACCTAAGAGAATTCGGTACTTGTTTCTAGCGGTTGCCTCTTTAAGGTGAAAACTTGGAATGAGAATTCTTGTAAAAGATCGAAAAGTTAGATATGAAAGATTAGAACTATAAAAAAAGTGAAGGGATAGCAAAATCACGGTACATGCTGTATTTTTTTAAAAAAGTTAGTTGCAGTGTTCAATTTCGCCTAAGCCCAAAAGACAAGCCGACTGGTTAATGTTGAAATGAATCTGTTTCAGTAAAACATTGGGTTTTGAAATCTTTTCGTTGGCAGACAGGTTTGCCACAGTTTTATCTAGCGCAAATGGGATATAACTTGTTATTTGTTGTATGGTGTCAGGGACTTTGGGAAGAGCGACTGAAATGAAGCATGGTTAAAAATGAAATAAACAATAAAAATTGACGTTCCGGCAACCGCACGGTAACCTTGTCCCTCCATACGGTAGCTGAAGTGTCAAATTTTCTTTAAAATGCTTAAACCTCTCATTTTGGCCGACACTCTTTAATTTTGTTTGTTCATGCTTTTCCCTAACCAGATGATGCTTCGCCAAACCTCCTATTTCATCATGTACTTTTTGTGCGTGCTCGTTCACAGATAACTGCTTATGTCAACAAAATCATAGAAAATTTGTTGTACTACGTGATATACACTAAAAACAAAACATGCGTGTGATGCGCGAATGCGCGGTAGTTATATTGACACTGCAGCACGTCATTGTTGAGACATGAATACAATTTACATGAGTTGGTCTGTTCTGACCTCTTTTTCATTGTTTTCCTAAGCTTTACAAACGTCTTGAGGAGTGATAGGATAAAAGTCAGTTATATTTTACTGAATATTATTACATTTTTTCTACTAATTTTTTTTAACCTTATGCTAAAGCACTCTTTATTTTCTATCCCGGTGTGGTGTCTATGCGGCATAATTTGAAAACTAAGGCATCTTGTGGCTTTATCTCTAGCAAAGTTTCTGGTTATTATTTTTCGCTGTTCTTTGTTTTCTTCCCAACTGCCCAGTGACTGGAGCACAGCCTGCGTTGTATCCATTTTTAAAATAGAGACCGCTTAGCACTAGGCAATTACCGTCCAATCCTACTAACTTCAAAATGTTGCAAAATTATCGAATACATCATGGCTACTAATATGATCAAGTTTCTAGAAGAAGGCTCTATATTAACCAAGTATCAACATGGTTTTCGGACAGAATTATTTACCGTTACTCAACTCGTCACACTGTTTCACTCTCTTGCGTTAAGCATCGATAAACACGGCAAGATAGATATGTTCTACCTAGATTTTGGCAAAGCCTTCGATAAAGTTCTCCATAGTAACCTAATTTGCAAACTTAGAACAATAGGTGAAGGCGACACCAAGCCATAGTCGGCAAAGCACCGTTGTCTCGAGTCGAGAGAGTCCAGACGGAGGCCGGAGTCGACGAGATGGGTCCAGTCTACGCAGTCGCGTGTGCCGTAAGCGCTCGGTGTTCCACAGGAATTTTAATTCTGCATTAGCGATTTTTCGGATTGTCATTGCAGCATCAGTCCTAGAAAATGGTATAGATTCTTCTTCACCATCTTCGTGCGCTGATCGAGCAGCTGCATCAGCATGTTCGTTGCCCAATATGCCGCAGTGACTTGGAAGCCACTGAAACGTGATTCTGTGTCCTTCGTCGAAGAGATGGTGAAGCAGCTCTCTAATTTCCAGCACTAGTTGTTCATGAGGTCCCCGGCGTAAGGCGTACATCAAATACTGTAGTGCCGCTTTAGAGTCCGTGAACACGCTTTATTTCTTGGCTTCTTGGTGTTTAATGACTTGAATTGCGCTACGTAGAGCAGCAAGTTCCGCAGCTGTCGATGATGTCTGGTGGGATAACCGAAACTTCACCGTTGTCGCTGTTGCAGGAAAGATCACCGACCATGCAGACCCATCCACTTTAGTTGAACCATCAGTATATAGATGAGTATGCTCACTGTACTTCTTATATAACAAGAGAAGAGAAAGCTGCTTTAGCGTTGGCGAGGAAAGCCGGGCTTTTGACCCTATCTATGCCTGGAACCGTGAGTTCAACATGTGCATAGGTCATACTCCATGGGGGAGACAGTGCTGCTTGCGGTCATTGCGGCAGTGATGAAACTATAAAGCACGTTCTCTGTCACTGCTCTCGTTACAGCGTGCAAAGACGGCAACTAGCTGCTGCGTTAGCTCACCTTGACGACAGACTTTTGTCTGAACAATCAGTGCTGGAAAGTCGACATGATTTGTGTGCTCACAGAAAATCAGTGAAGGCCTTACTGAACTTTTTGCGTGACAGTGGCGTATTGTATAGACTGTAGCACCCCAGCCCCCCCTCCCCTTTTTTGCACGCGTCTATTTCCCTCTTCGCATTCTTTCCCATCTTTCTTTCCCATTCTCCCTTTCCCTAGTGCAGTGTAGCAAAGCGGATGCTCTATTTTCTGGTTAACCTACCTGCCTTTCCCTCATTTTATTTTCTTAGAACAATAGGTATACCAGAAGTATTTTTCTATTAAATTTCTGTGTGTTTAAATATTCGCGAACAGTACGTTGAGGTAAGGGGCCAATATTCGGACAGTCTTTCCGCCACGTCGGGCGTACCACAGGGCAGTGGGTTAGGCCCTTTGCTATTTCTCTTGTATATCAATTATATTGTTGATGTTATTTATCCTAGTGTAGAAATAAGATTACTTGCAGATGATTGTGTTTTGTTCAAACAAATACGTTCCACTAATCATTACAACGATCTCAGCTCTAGTCTTTGCAATATATATGAATGGTGTAGCAAATGGGGAATGTGTCTCAACGCGAGCAAATGTGTTTGCCTTCCAGGGACTCGCAAAAAGAAATCAAAACCCTATGTATACATATTAGGGTCTTCACCACTACAACAAGTAAACTCCTACAAATACCTTGGTGTGACACTCACATCCAACTTATCCTGGAATCTCCATATTGATAATGTTTGTTTGTCTGCCTTTCGCAAACTATGTCTGCCTAAACAAAAACTTAGAAGTGCTCCCACGAATATTAAACTACTTTGTTACACTGCCTTTGTGCGACCAAAACTAAAGTACGTGAGCATAGTATGGGACCCATATACAAAACGTAATACATACACTCTTCAGCGTATTCAGTAAAAAGCTGTTAGATTTATATTCAACAAGCACTCCAAGTTAGACTCACCCTCAGATTTATTGCTAGCCAACAACATTCCCTTATTGCAGACACGAAGACAAAAAACTAGATTAGAATTTCTTGATCAACTTTTGAACAAAAAACTAGCTCTAGACCCATCCCCGTATTTTACACCTCTAAGTAGCCGGCCCACCCGGCACCAGCACCCAAAAACCTTGACCCCACATTTTGCTCGCACAGACCTACTCAAGTTTTCACACTTTCCAAGAGCTATATGTGAATAGAACTGCTTTACTAATACATGTGATGAATGCATTTCCCTACCAGACAACCTCCTTCGCCTTTTATTGTTTCAGTTTTGAATTGCTATTTTATTTATATTTGTATTTGTATTACCACCCTGCTTGGACCTTTATTCTGCAGTATTGAATAAATAAATAAATAAATAAATAAATAATTAAATAAATAAATGTTCCTATCTGATAGCATTTGAATTTCTGTCTCTTAAATTTGGGTTAGAAGGGCTGCTATGCGGATCCGTTGGTTTTATATGGCTAAAATATGCCAATTTATCGAATAGAAATGAATTGCACGTGATTACTCAACAATAGCTTGTCGTTGGTTCGCTACAGGGTGTATTAATGGTGGTCGAGTTTCTAGACGCATCGTGCCATGCTGCCGAAGGGTCGCAGTTTCAATATCTGTAATTCTGTACCCTTATGATTCCCAATTGCAATCAAACCGAAGTGTCTTATTATATATTTATTTGCATCTACTTCAAATTTTCAATCACAAGGAACCATAATTTTTTTATCCTGACTAAGGAGGCCATCGCCAACCCAGAGCGCAGAATTTCTGCGAACGAGTGCTTTAAAGCTATCGCATCAGTACAGGTCACGCTACATGTTGCATGTTTCCGGCTAAGTTACAACGCCATAGCTTCAAGACATCTTTTATCGTGTAATATCGTGATTTAAGATAAGTGCTCACATGGTTTCTGACCAATGACTTGGCACCATAGCACTTTTTGTTTAGGCTTCCGCATCGCACTTCGCGGGCAGTGCACGTTACTGGCCTTGGCAACATGTTTCGGGCACTGGCCGTAAGATGTCGTTGTAGTGTGTGGATTTCGTTAGCCTTTATGCGACAACGTTTCTCTTTGATGTTATCTTCCAACTGCAGATGCTGTTCCTCACTTCAGTGCTATGCGCCCACGGAGCCCGGGCGTTGCGGCCGTACGAGCCGCTTGATGAGGATTCCAATTCGGGCATTCCGGCAGTGCACGCGGCCCCGGCCTTCGAAGACGAGAAGAATCCACAGGACGATGTGCCGACACAGGAAGACGACATGGACGACATGATGGAAAACGTACGATATCCGCAGAAGGCCCATATATTCACTATATCATCGCGCGATGTGCCTTTAGCATGAACACACATCATTTCAAACGAACGAAACACAAACATTTTTGCCAAGCCGCTTTAGTGACTGACACTGATTCATCGGATCTCATTAGGGCGCTTGTGGCAAACTGCAAAATGTTACGTAAAGGGGGAAAACATAACGGTGCCTTTAACCTTACTCAGAATACTTGACTGACCATAAGTTGTCTTGAAGCTCACCGTGTATTAAGGAGTCTTGCAGACTCTAAACACTACTTTGAGCAACTATTTTACTATACTTCTGTTGTAACTGTATTCACGAAGAAACCGGGCAGATATACCTTGCATTCTGTTCGCAACATCCTCATACTGCACCAGTTTCGGGACCCAGAAACAGTGAAACACTTCTGCTGGTCATCGGAATGTCATTTTGATTCTCAGGTCCCAAGACGTACTTAGTCTTTTATAAGGGCTTAACACTGTCATCTCAAGTCGGTTACGGCCTAGAGATGGAAAAGATAGAGACAAAGAAATCGATAGTGACACAGAAAGACAGGAAATGAAAGTATGTTAACCATAGGGAAAATTTCGGCTTGCTGCATTACTCTTAAAGAAGGAAGGTGGAATAGCTTAAGAGATAATGAGGCTGAAAGGGAAACAAGGTGGAATAAAGACACCATCACAGTATAGGGTACTCTTTCAGCAAAAAATTGCTACTGGACTACGACGCGCATCTACAAATTATGTAAAAAAACAACAGGACTAGGCATTCAATTATGGTTCGATAAAGAGCAGCTAGACATAGAAAAAAAAGAAAAAAAAACCCACTGGTGATGCTTCGACATCCTGGCTGCTGCGCGTGCAAAGTATGGCTATTGCCAGCGCTATTACCAGTGCTGCGAGGCTATTGCCAGTGTGGCTATTGCCAGTGCAGCTGGCTCTGTTACCAGTGTCATAATCGTCTAGATAATTTCGTTCTTAGCATTCCGAAGAGCTGAAGCGAAGTCCTTCGATCAAGGATTTTCGTTCGTCACATAAAAGGCCAACTTAGAGTGGGGTGCAATCCAAGTGCCTTAGCGCAAATACAGCATCCGTTCCATTGTGAAAATATTTGACTAAGCACCCACAGTCGCATTTCAGTCACTTGAGACAATTTAGTCGTCGCTCACAATGTTCGCTCCAATACCTCAAACTACAATCATGCGTAAAAACAAGCATCATCCCCAAAACGTTATTTAAGTATTGTGGCCGTGATTAAAAGCTTACTCAATATAAGTTTCAATTCTACATAGCTAGCAGTGTACTGTTCCTTGGCGCGCAGTCCTTCTTCCACAACCGGAATATAATTTTACACTGGGCTAGCTGGACATTGCTCAAATTTTAAGTGTATTTATAGACAATCTGCCCCAAACATTGCACGTCACCTCGATGAAGGCGGTTGAGACATGGCATAATGTTATGCAAATAGGTCTTACTTAGTAGAAACGAAAGACATACCAATGCGCTAACACCTTCAAAGGAATGAAAAGCTATTACCATAGGCATCATTGTTGTGCTCTCCGAACTTCACCATTGAAAGGTCTTTTAATGGCGTATTGTCAATGCAGCCCAGCTAAGGCTTTGAATGCGGCTATGTGGGTCAAGTATTCTGAGTCTCACACATAGTAGCGTGAAAGTGAAAGCATATTCGCCAGGCACCTGTCAAAAGCACCGCGGAAGGCCACAGATCCGAATCTTTGTCTGCCTTGCACTCATCAGAATATTTTGACAGGGTGCCTTGAACCGTGACGTGAAGGGCGACTTCGCGCCAGCGAGATTGATCGTTGTTTCACTTGTGCGTCCCTCGCGTACAGGTCTCACCTTGCCCTACGTTGCTTCATAGATGCAGAGCAATATGGCCGTAGCCGTACCGTTGGGTGGCTGAGGCAAACCTTCATGTGTACTGTACAGGCTGTGTTTCTATCAACGATTTCACGCAATCAAAGTCCCAGCGGAATGCTGTTTGGGATGTGGAAACCGAAGCCTTGGCAGCGAAAGCGCTTCACGTTCAGTGGCTACATTCTTGTAGAGGAATGAGACGAGATGGTGCCGGATGAGCCCATGCCGCGGTCGCAGCTTATTATTGGGACGCGGGAGAAGAAAAGACCAAAAGCGGTTGTGGCTGACGCGCCCAGCGGGTCTTAGAGCTAGAACGTTCTGATCATCACGTTGCTCGCGCTACACGAGCGAAGCGGCTCTCTTCTTCCTTTGTCGCGCCTGTCGCTGCACCACACCCTTCATCCGATAGAAGTGTTGAAGAAATTTGTCTTTCTTGACACAAATGTGTGAGCCGTCATTGCGCTAGGGTATCTGGCAAGATCCGAGAGCGCGATAATTAGAACAGGCTTCACATTGTCTTTCCCTTTTTCTGACGCAGTTGGGCAAAGCGTTACCTTCTAGGAATCCATCAGTATTCATGATGTTCATACGACGAACATAGTGTTCATGGCCCATAAAATGCCGTGGCAAACTAGATTTACGCCTTTATGTTTACTTGGTTGAGATGTATGCCGATATATTTCGTTTTCCAATCCGCCTCGGTAGAGCAGTGGGTATACGGTGCTCTGCTGTTGACCCAAGGGTAACGGATTCGATCCCGGCAGTGGTGGTCGTGTCTTGATGGAGGCGAAACGGTAGAGTCCCGTGTGTACTGTGCGATGTAAGTAAACGTTAAAGAACACCATGCGGCGTCTCTCATTTTTATATCGTAGTTTTGGACGCAAAACCCCAGATATTTTTGTACTATTCTTTATTTCAGACGTGTCGCACTTCGCGAGACGATGCATGACGTGTGGTGCGGTGCTACTTACTCGGGTATTCAAAACGATTAATAGTTAAAAGCACGTGCCGAAGAAATGTATGAACGAACATAGTCGAGTATTAAAAGTCAACACAGATATCAAAGCACCTAATTCACACTGGCTACAAGATTCGGAAGAAATCAAATGATGCCTCCAGTTTTAGGTCATACGTTTTATCGGTGACTCACCTCCTGAAATTTCCGAATATCACTCGTGAACATGGAAACTTAGGGAGAGAGTATTACTTTATATTATCTATTGATTTTACTTACAACGGTTTTAAATTTCACTTTTTCTTCAGTATCCCTTAAACTTAGCTCAAACGAGCTGCTTCAAGTGCCTCTTGCTGCTATCAAAAACAAATGTATCCCACAACGTTAGAGATCACTTTATCTGATCGCATGTTGCCAAAATATGGGCATATTTAGATATTTTTATTAATTTATTATATAAAGAGATGTTGGCGCACAAGCATAACGTCGCCTATTACTTAGCCCTTGAGTGAAAGTTGAGCCCATATCTTAAAGGAAAACATACAAAGCAGTGTATGGAAAATAGAACAATCGATCACACATATGCAAAAACACACCTATTCGCACATATCACAACACATTGATAAGAAAATGTTTGGAAGTCAGCGAATGAAGTCATGTTGTTTTATTATACGTTCATTTCATTTTGAGCGCAAATACACGAAATTATTTTCTGCACTTGGTAGTCACGAGTAACTGTGCGTAGACACATCTCCCACAGAAATAATTTTGCAACATTAAAATAACACACGGAGTTTGACGTGAATTCACTACCGAGTCGGGTCTCAACCAAATGTAGCTAAAATGAAACAAAACGAAACAATTGCTTTGTCACAGGATAATTAGGCTTGAATAATCAAAAAAGACAAGCAAGGAAAGGCTCAACACACGTATACAATTTTCTCATTTGTGGTCTTCTCATTTTTATAACAAACACTTCATTGAAGAGTTTGCTCTAGTGCTTTAGAATTTCTTCCCCGATATTTTTATCTTGCTTTCTAGTAGCATACCTAAACGCCAAGACTTCTGTGAATTACTTCAGGTGATTTTCGAATTCTTCTCGCAGGGAAATATGCCACTGACGCGGCAGCAGTCGTACCACTTCTCGTACCAGATTAGGGACTCTGATGGCAACTCACAACATCACAGCGAGCAGAGCGACGTGAGAAATAACCGCAGGGGCTCCTACGGCTACCAGGACGCGAACGGTGTGTACCGCCACGTGGAGTACGTGGCCGACAAGAAAGGTTTCAGGGCTTGGATTAAGACGAACGAGCCAGGTACCACCAACCAGGAGCCCGCCAGCGTCCGCATAACGGCCGAGATGCCACCCGCGAAGGTCGTCGATGAGGCCACCTCACCTCCGGCGAAACCTAACACGGTCGCCGATCGCGTAGGCACCATGCCCGCTCGACCCGCGGTCTCAGCTGTGCCTGCTTTTACTCAACACGATACGTTTCCCGTTTACCCCGTCCATACTGCGGGTGTAGGGGCTAGACCCGCCGTAGCTGCCGTGCCTGCCTTCCACGTATCGGATGCCGGTGAGTACGAACTTTCCAGACCCGTGGCTCCAGTGCCAGCCATCGACATCGCCACTGGCACCTACCCGTCGTTCGACTCGAAACGGCTGTCCGGCGCTGGTTACGGTCCCTCGGACTACAGTCGACAGGATGCAGTTCCGGTTCAGGATCACCAGGGAGTGCCCGACGCGGGCATTGCCGACTTTGTGTACTATCCGGAGCAGCAGAGGATACATAATTACGCTGACAAATATGGAGCACAGGGCTACGCACACTATCGCCGACCATCGTACTCAAACCAGGCCGTGCCGAATGCGGTCCCTCTTTACAAGTCCATTCGCCCGTTCCCGACACTGAGCTCAAAGAAGGGGACCGAGGATTCGGGTGAAGTTACCCAGAAGCACGGAATTCCCGTGGGCGTGACGTACGTTAACGCACAGGACGTGATCCGCCCATTCGAGCGACCACAGTCGTACGACATCGCCATGACCGGTGTGGCTTCGAGGTACAAGAGGTACCTCCAATGGAACGGGCGGGGCAATTTGCGCGACTGAGTGCCTGTGGTGCGTGGTCGCCGGCGACGTCGCTTGTAAATATTCATGCTCTGGTGTGTGGTTCTGTCAGCGGGCTGTTTCTCGATCGTTATGCTTTGCATGCGTGGTAATTTCGTCTTGTTTTTTCTGGCGTGCTTTGTGCTGGTACAACAAGGCCCACCTGAGTCTGCGTGCCATTGTGTTGTGATTGGTCTCATCGGTAACAGTCGGCGTGAAATGTTCGCTCAAACGATGCGGCATTGTTGTTTCAATAAACCTCAGTCCATGTTGTGCCATATGAACCTTGTTTCTGTTTGCTGGAGAGGAAAGGTACATCAATGTCGGGGAAATTGATTTAATTCAAGCCCACACCAATGCCCCAAATATAATACCCAAAATAGTGTCATTTATTATTCATGAATTACCCCAAACGCAAGAGGGCTCGTAAATGTCCAGGAGTGGCACTTTTTATTATAGGTAAATGGACGGACTGGAACAACTAGCTCTACAAAAATGTATCGATCCTTTGAAACGCAGTATCATTACCTGCGTGAAAGTTGAATGTACATAACCATAATTTTAGTTTATGAAACGCAGAGAGGTACTGAGTGAAAACCAGGTGCCAGACATGACTCTATAGTACTATTCTCAGTGCTTCTTTGCTTGAATATATTTGAATTATTATCGTATGACAAGGTTTAAAAATTACATGGTAGAATTTGCGTGCAAACGTCCCGCCTCCTGGTTCTTTTGTGTGTTTTTTTCCTTGCAGTGACCCAAAAATACAAAGCGATGATAACGGCCCGTAGCCTAAGGTTTGTTTAATTTTTTTGGCAATTATACTGCCAGCGTGTATGAATGAGGAGATTTATGTGGTAAAATACACATATTTCTCAACCAAAAACGAACTCCCGGTTCAAGTGTCATCCATTAACGGTTGCTAGCGCATTAAATATTTTACTTTGTGCTGTTGAAATATTCGTTATCATCAATCTAAAATTCATTACCCCGGAGAGATATGGCAGTTGTTTACAACAACTAAGGAATAATTTGCAATGGAATTGCTAAGTTATAGTTCACTCCCGATTAGTATCTGAGGCTTGGTTCATTCCCGCTTTGACCTACTTTTGGTACTTCGAAAGTACCAGACAGTCGTTCTACGAAATAACTCCGTCACTTATGTTTTAAAAAACAATTCTAATCTATCAGGAGTACGTGGAGTGGGCATCAACAACCTTTATTCACACACGTTTATTTTTTCTGACGTTTCTTCTTTAAACACAATTTGTACGGCCTATTTCTCATAATATCTGGGGTTTCACGCACGAAAGGCATGACATAATTAAGAAGCACCTCATAGGGATCCAAGGGCTGTAGATACTTCTGCCGTCGAGTGCCCCTTAGAGCGCCCCCAAACCACATGAACTTGAAAGGTGAGACTATAGTTTGTCTGCCCCACCGCGGTGTTCTAGTAGCTAAGGTACTCGGCTGCTGGCCCGCAAGTCACGGGATCGAATCCCGGCTGTGGCGGCTGCATTTCCCATGAAGGCGGAAATGATGCAGGCCCGTGTGCTCAAATCTGGGTGCACGTCAAAGAACCCCCGGTGGTCAGAATTTCCGGAGTCCTCGACTACGGCGTCTCTCATAATCATATGGTGATTTTGGGACGTTAAACACCACATATCAATCAATCAATCAATCAATCAATCAGTCAATCAATAAATCAACCAATCAATCAATCAAATAATCAAAAATCAATCATAGTTTGTCTCTAGCCTCTCCCATCCGCACAAGCGCTATCTCACGCTCGCTGCTTGTTTCTTCGTAAAACACGTTAAAAGTCAGCAAAAAGCGTTGAGCTGGTCAGGATCACGGTTTTTTACTACACGCTACTATCTGCGCAAGCGCACTCGCAAACACTGAAAAGAAAGTGAAATCACCTTATCGCACGCGATAGTCACCCGAGACAAGGCAGAGCAGGCATGCGAATGTACGGCCAGGCAGCGTAAGAGAAAATTCACAATAGATATCCCCCTTGTCGATTAATCGCGACATTGTTTCATCCTGACGGCAGCGAGCCAATAGCTGGCGTCACGAATTCTGCCGAAAAGACCGGAAACGCCGGGAGGGAATAATGTGTTCGTTCTTCCTATTTTTGCTGAGGTTTTTTATTAGAGACCCTTTCAACCTATACCAGAGAGAGACACAAAGAGAAAGAAGAGGAAAGGTGGGAGGGTAACCATATAATGGCTTCCAGTTTGCTATCCAGCACTTGGGGTAATAGGAGCAAGGAAGAAGCTGTAGAGAGATATAAAAAAATTAAAACAGACATGTGCCCCCAGAAAAAAAAAGAAATAAACTACACACACAAACACAGGAAGGGCGTTTTACTTAAAACCGTTTAGAAAAACTGGTCAATCGCAAAAAGGGCAGTAGCGCTTGCTGGGCCTTCTTCTGTGACGTTGCATCCTGGCGATATTGTAAAATCATATCCTCCGACGGAGGTTGATTATCCTAATTTAAGGAGCTCATTACAAAGGCATATTCACTGTCCGCTATACTGTAGGTAGTCACAAAAGATACGTCGGATAGTTTCTTCATTACCACAGTGGCCAAAAGCTGCAGTGTCAGCCATCCCGATGCGGAAAGCGTAAGTGTTGGTAAATGCAACGCCGAAACACAGCCTGCATAATAGGGTCGCGTCTGCTCGGTGAAGCCTTGACAGCACATCAACACTTAACGTAGGGTCAAGCGAGGGCAGTCGGACATGCTTGAAGTGCGGTTGATTTCATGGTGACGTGGTTTGTTGACGAGCGAGCCAGGAGATATTCCGTGCAGCATCGGTCCTAAAAAGCTGTAGTATACAGTTAATTGTCTTTAACGTGGGCAGAATCCTGACTTCACCGGATGAGCTATTCGGCAGAACTGATTCGTCTGTGTATAGGTGTATGGAGACTTGGTATTTTTTGTACAAGGGAAGTACTGTGAGCTGCTCGAGAGCAGGTGACGGCAAATAGGCTTTTTTTGACGCCAGGTATGGTAATGTTAATATTTGGTTGAGCGAGGCTTCATGAAGGAGTCACAGGTCTAGCGCCAGGAAAGAATGAAATTAGGATTGATACACTATGTGCGGTGACTGTTTGGCGGTAAGATGTGCGTGGTACGTTGGTCCGCTGGTAGCGAGACTAGGTTGAGGAGGGGAGTTAGAGCAAGGTGTCGTAAATGTGTCCTCAGCACTTAAACACGAATGTGGGTGTTGAAGAGGTGGTCCTTTGCGTTGGCAATAGTTGCCACTGTTGATGCACTTTGAAGCAAGCCTGACAAATTCGGAGTACTTGAACCTGGGCACTTTGAATCATTTGTATACTAGGTTTACTTGCGTTGGTTAACACAGGCAGGCTATACCGATCGAATCCAAGGAAAGTAACCCTATATAGTTGTAACATAGCGGCTGGAACCTGTACCAAAATTGCATAGTACGCGGTATTCTAGCACTTCTAGATGTGGCAGCTACGGCGAGGATAGAACCCACGTCTTGAGCCAGTGGCGGATTATAATTTAATTAGTTTCGCCGTAACTGTTCTCATATATGAACATATTATAAATATAGGAGTTGGGTCACGTGTTTTACGACAGACGGCTCATTGGACGCAATTAGAGCTCATCATTCCGAAATGAGGTGCCGACTATGTCAGTGAGTGTCTGAAGGCCTAATTAAAGATGGAAATGATGCATTCGGTGAGCGGAAGGGTGGGAATGATGGTTAGATAAACGGCCAGATGACAGTGCCATGTTTTTATAAATTTATAAATTAGTGTTTGCGGTTGTCTTGAAGCCCTGCAGTATATAGAGGGCTACAATAAAGAGCTCATCGACAAGACAAGAATACATGAGAAGCCACGCAAGCGTCAAACATTTTCTTTTTCATTCCTTTTTTTTTCACTTTACTTGGGTGTAACGGCTCCATGCACGTAGTTCGTGTTTCCGGTAATAGTGAATAAGCGTGATCGGCTATCAATATTAAAGGAGTAGGGACATTAACATGACACATGTCACGTTTCTTGCATCAACGCGTAGTTATCGATCTCCTTGTAATGATTCCGTACTAAATATGCAACAGGGGGACAAATTAACATATGCAACATCGATTAGTATGACCAGTATTGAACCAAATTCAAAACAAGTGCAAAGACCGCCAATTTTTAGCGATGCTAGCGGTGCCAAGCGGGTGCACCTGCCGCAGTCCCGCCTCATTTGATCTCGTGGCCACGCGAAATGGTGGCGCCAGTTTCAGTTGTCATTAAGTCTGCTGGACCAGTGCCGCCTAGAAAAATAATTCAGGCCTGCTCACTACTCCGGGCACGGCCTGTGACGTCACTCAGTTTCGGCGCTTGTCTCGGGCCGAGTAGAAGTGCGCATGCATGCTCTTGCCTTCCGAGATAGCAGGATTGCTAAGCCTGACGAAGCCTATCGTAGAGTGCTGGTGTTCCTTCGGGTGACAGCACAAAGAGGACCGTGGTTTTCAGCGTCCTCGAAGTGCTGCGTGGTGATGTGATGTGCTACGTTCTGTGACTGTTCGCGTAGTGTACACCGGCAATCTAGCAGTGGAGCAGCGCTGCGGGCTCAACTGTCACCAGTATTGACAATGTGCCGAAGGTTTGAGTGTTTTTGTTACCCAAGGACGAGTTGAAAACGAACTGAGAGCCTGCCGTTCATAAGGATGACATCCATATGCCTTCTCTCCGTGATTCGAAGGTATGTGTGTGTATATATATGTAGTATAGTTGCTTTTGAGTTGTTTTTAAAGCACTACCTTTAACACGTTCGGTTACTTTTGTAAAATGATGTATTGTGCGTTTCTGACTTGTTTGCGAAAGCCTTGACATTACACACCTTTACCTGAGTGTCGCTGGCGCTCTCCCTCGCGATAACGTATCGTCGCGAGACAGTTCCTGGAACTGTGTATATTTCGCGTTTTTGACGAGGGCGTTTGTCGAGACGCGGTTGGCGTGGCTGCAAAACGACGGCGCAACGAAGCAGACACCTGCACGCTCCACTTAAGCGACTTCACAAGCACAGCGAAAAGAGTGTTTGAAGTTCTGTTGACCCGCCGTGGTGGTCTAGTGGCTAAAGTACCCGGTTGCTGACCCACAGGTCGCGGGATTGAATCCCGGCTGGGGCGGCTGCATTTTGAAAGGAGGCAAAAATGCTGGACCCGTCTGCTCAGATTTGGGGGCACGTAAAAATACCCAGGTGGCCGAAATCTTCGAGGCCTCCGTTTCGGCGTCTTTCTTAATAATAT